AGCATCACAGTTCAGAGCAATCTCAAACTCTTGGGCTTAAGCAATTCTCTTGCCTCAGCCTCCCAAGTAGCTGGGACTACAGGCAACTGCCACAACATCTGGCTATTTTTTGTTGCAGTTGTCATTGTTGTTTAGCTGGCCTGGCCCAGGTTCAAACCCACCAGCCTTGGTGTATGTGGCTGGCACCATAACCACTGTGCTATGGGTGCCAAGCCATTCTGTGACTTTCTTAAACTCCCATTAAGTCCAGGCAAAACTCTTCTGTAGCCCAGTTCTAGTTATTTTGTTCATAGTAACTACAACCCGCTTTGGACTAAAGTTGTTTATATATGCATTTTATGTGAAGGGATTGTGTCCGGTTTAATCCCCCAGTTTCCCACAGTGCCTTACACAGAGTAAGCCCAATGTTGTTGAAGTACACCAGATGGGTATAAGTTTAATGCACCAAAAAGTTCACCACAGCATTTTTAAAATGGCAAAACAAAACAAAACTAGAAACAAACTTAGTGGCCAATAATAGGGAATTAGTTAAGGAAATTATGGTACACTTGTACTTTAGAATATTACGCAACCAACAAAAAATAAGCTTAACATGAATTGATGAAGGGAAATTTTTAGGCTATGAGGATAATACAAAAAAGAGACAAAATTATATACTGAGTAGTCACAACTCTACAGCTAATAAAAGCAAAATAAGACATTAACAGTCAAAAAAATATACACGTATAGAGAAAGTCTAGGAGGTCTTGTCATTAGAGGGTCTATGTGACTGGGTCAGAGCCAGGGAGGATGGGCAAAATATACCTTTTGTGACCTTCAGGTTCCTCTCTCCTTGCCATGGGGCAGACGCACAGTGACCTTGAAGGCAGGCAACTTGGTAAAGGATGACCAGCTATGGTTGGTGAGACCACCACTGGAAGTTTTCTTTTAGTCACTTTGTGAATTTTCCAGAAAGATCAAGTATTACAAAGAAAAATACAAATAAAACCTTTTCTTGACACTGGCTAGATTGTTTGGTAGTTCTTTCTTCTTAGTGGTCAGCTAGTTGTGAAAGCAAGGACCTACTGGGAACCAGCACACCCTCCCTGGGCCTGTGCTGGGCGGAGGGGAACCTTCAAAGGAGAACCAGTGAAAAAGGCAAAGAGAAAAGAGACAGGACGTTGGGGAAGGGTGGCTGACCCGGTAGGCTGCGCTCTGGGAAGTGGGCCTGAGATTCTCCCAGCGCCTTGTTTTTCTTCTGGAGTTGTTTTGATTTTCCTAACAGCCACTCCCTGTCTTTGAAAAGTACATTAGAATGTGCAGGCGTTTAAATTGGTCCATTGTAGCTCTAATTTCTTCCCTAGTGTGTGGTTTGACTCGCTTCCAAAAGCTCAACTTTTATTTTTATAAAGCAAGGAATGGAAGAGACAGAAACAAGTCTCCCCAAGTTTCAGATGACAGGACAGTGGGGCAGCATGGCTCTAATCACCAGACACAAAGAGGTTTTGGATAGCTCTTCTCACTGTAAACTCTGTGGCCTGTGAGGTGGTGGTTTGGTGACCTCAAGGTACATCAGATGGAACATGAGGGAGGCTAGCTGGGCTCTGGGGGCCTCAGGCTGACCAGTCTAGGGGCTGGGTTACAAGCACAGTTCAGGAGACCTGGGCCTCCTCTTGGCCCATTCTGCCAAAACATTTGGCTTTAATTCAATGAAACAAATAGGAATCCAGCACACAGCCCTGAGTGACAGACAGCAGGCATTGTCCCTGTCCTAGAGAAGCTCTCAGGTACAAGAGAAGCTGCACATTGAACACACATGAGGCTACAGGGGGTTGAGACACAAGCTGGGGTGGGGGAAGCAGGTCTGAACTTTTCTGTGAACTTCTCAGAATAAAAGCTTTAAATATCAAGAATAAACTGCAAAAAGTTATAAAGGAAACCAATCATGGTAACATCCAGGTACCAAATACTAAAAATCAAATTCATGAGATACACACATACACATTATTGAATCACAGGCCCTAACAATGGGCCCAATAGTTACTGTAATGTTGAAATAGTGCTGATTATAAACATTTCAAGATATCAGCAACAACTGTGATGCAGCCAAAAAAATATATGTGACAAAGTTCCAGGCACTTCCAATACCAGCGGGTCCCCTGTTTGTGCCTTATATGTAACTGAAGGATATCCTATTAGAGGGGAGTAGGATAGAGTTAGTTTCCCATCCAAGTTCATGGGTCCCTGAACTGTATCTGTAGTTCACTGTTAGTCCACGGGTCCTAGTTAAGAGTCCTGCTCTAGGCCTTCTAACAGCCAGTGGAAAGAAGAGCATGTTCCTTTAAGCATGTTAAAAATCTGAAAGATTAAAAAGCAACTTTGGGGTGGCGCCTGTGGCTCAAAGGAGTAGGGCGCTGGCTCCATATACCCAAGGTGGTAGGTTCAAACCCAGCCCCAGCCAAACAAAAACTGCAAAAGTAAATAAATAAATAAAATTAAAAATAAAAAGCAACTTTGTGGCTCAGCAAAATCCCATTCGCAGTTGATTTAAAGACTACCAGGAAGACATTTTTCCCAAGTGTCTTTCATAGAAATCTCACCAGGGGCCCTCATGACCTGGTCCCTTTGTGGAAACCAGAAACAGAGGTGGAGGCCTCGGGGTACAGAGTGTGAGTGGCCAGGTGGGTGAGATGGTGTCAGACCCTGCCTCAGAGGGAGAGCAGCCAGCCTCTCCTCTGGTCCTCAGTGAAGCTTAATGGGCTCCCGGCCTTTTTAGGCTTTGTGGGCCACATCGCATATTTTTCTTTAAAAAGGTAAGAAGCATTCTCAGTTCACTGCACAAAAAACAGACCACAGGCTGGACTTGGCTTATAGGCTACAGTGTGCTGACTCCTGCCTTAGAAGGTCCCAGGCTACAACGAGCAACTGCAGAAGGCCCAGCTGCCAGCAAAGCTAGCTAGTCAAGTGACCACAGGGATGTGTCTGGGAGAGGGCTGGCCTCAAGGCCAGAAGACCCAGAACTGGTTCTGGTGGTCTAAGCCCAATGACTCACTAGCTGTGTGACATCTGGCCGGTCACTTAACCTCTCTGGGTATCCATTTCCTCATATGAAAAATGGGAATAACACCTAGTTAGGGATTACTGAAAAAACTACTAACCCAGAGCTTGGAAGCAGTTCCTTTTTACCTAAATGCTTATGTGTCAGCTGGGGGTTTTCCTTCCTTAGGAACCTGCATCCAGACAGCAGCTCTCTAACTGTCTCAAGGTTGGTGTAGGTGGGAGCTGGGTTACTGGCTGTTAGACTAATGAACTGGAGCATACGAGTGGCTGCTGAGTGCCAGGTACTGAGAATCTGGAGACAAACCAGTGTGGCTCTGGCCCTATGGGGCTGGATACCCAGTGAGGGGTGTGGATACATAGCACAGGCCAGTGTGAGCCATGCAAGAGGGGAGGAGAGTGCCATGGGGCCACAGAGAAGGCGGGCTGGTCAGCAAGTTCTGTCTGCTGTGGGTACAGGAGTAGGCTCCCAATGTACTGGGGGAGGGGAGCTGGAGCATAGGAATGGGGGAGAGTCACTGGAGGAAGCTGGGAAGGGGGCAGGAACCAGGTCAGAGAACCTTAGGAGCCAGGTCCAAGATGTTAGATTTGACAGTGAGGACAATAGTCACTCAGCAAGTGTTGGGGATGCGGGGGAAGGGTTGACACAGCTCCAGGCAGGCCACCCTGGCCAGGGTGGGCAGAGGAGGGAAGTACTTGAACAGAAGTGGGCTGGGGCTGGAGGGTTGGAAGGATAGTGCAGAGATGGCAGCTTCACTCGGCCTAGGACAGGGAAAGGCAATGGGAGAGAAATTGTATCTCTAGATTGGTTAAATGGAGACAGTGTATATATATTTTTAAGAGACAGGGTCCTGCTCTATTGCCCAGCTAGAGCACCATGGTATAAGGATCCTCCCACCTCAGCCTCCTGAGTAGGCAGGACTGCAGTATGCCCAACTAATTTTTTTTTTTTTCCTAAAAAGTCTTTCTCTGGCTCAGGCTGGTCTCAAACTCCTGGCCTTAAGCAATCCTACAATACTGGGATTATAGTCATGAGCTACCATGCCCAGCCTGAAGATAGTATTATTATTATTATTATTATTTGAGACAGTCTCAAGCTGTTGCCCTGGGTAGAGTGCTGTGGAGTCACAGCTCACAGCAACCTCAAACTCTTGGGCTTAAGCAATTCTCTTGCCTCAGCCTCCCAAGTAGCTGGGACTACAGGTGCCTGCCACAACACCCGGCTATTTTTTTGTTGCAGTTGTCACTGTTATTTAGCTGGCCCAGGCTGGGTTTGAAACTGCCACCCTTGGTATATATAGCTGGCACTGTAACCACTGTGCTATGGGTACTGCCTGAAGATAGTATTATTATTAACAATAAAAGCCTGGTGCACTGGCTCACGCCTGTAATCCTAACAGGTATAATCCGAGGTGGGAGGAGTGCTTGAGCTTGAGACGAGCCTGAGCAAAAGCAAGACCCTGTCTCCACTAATAATAGAAAAATCGAGGCAAGAGGATCATTTGAGCCCAAGAGTTCAAGATTGCTGTGAGCTATGATGCCACAGCACTCTACCCAGGGCAATAGCTTGAGACTATGCCTCAAAAAACAAACAAACAAACAAAAAGGAGTTATGCATTTTTCCAAGCATTTTCAAACATGACAAAAAACCCACAATGTGCTCGGAGTAAAATACAAGCTGCTTCTATTTCTAAGCCACTTCTGGGACCATGTCTGGGGTGTGGCTGCAGGAGAGGGATTCTGGGCATGGCTCTGAGCTGGCCCACTGAATCAGCAAGAGGCCTGGCTAAGGGGAAGCTGATTGTTTCCAGTTCAGGCTGGTGCTGGTCTGTAGAGGAAACAGAAAGAAAATAGCCTTGGTTCCAGACCCTGCGAGGTTATCACAGATAACAGTTAGAAGTGATTATTTTTCTTGATGATGGAAAACTTGTGTTGGGGCAGAAGACAGAATAGTCTTGACACTGCATTTTCAGAAGACAGAACCGGGGTCAAAAGCCATTGCCCGGGAGACCAACCAGTCCCAGGAGGGATCAGTACAGGTGCCCTTTGAGAGAAGCTTCCAGAACCTGAGCGCCAGGCCTGAGCCATCTCCTCGACCAGAGAGACCTTAAATAGAGTCACAGAGAAAGCACAAGGCAAACTGAGGAAGCTGAAGAGCCATGGAGAAGTGTGTGGCTGACCGAAGGCTACTGGAAATGTGGTGGTGTAGACTGAAAAAAGGAGAAAAGACCAGCAAGGGAAGGGGAGGGTGCTAACATCTGTGGAAGAATGAGATGCCCACAGGGTTAGGCACTTGTCCCAAAGCCTCCTTTTCCACCCCCCTACATCTCAGTCTAAGAGAAAGCGCCCTCAGGGGCAGCAGAGGTAGAAGAGGGCTTCTGCTCAGGCTGAGCTCTGCGGCCTCCCCCAGGGCCACAGCAGCACGTCCTCCTCTAAGAACACCATGGGGCTGATGGGGAAAAGCGTGGCGAGCTCTTGCTTTGGGTATGTTGGACTCCAAAGCCCATATGCCTGTCTCATTAGGCCACATCGCCTCTAAAATGAAGTCCAACTTCCTTAACACCAGGATCTCCAACAGCACTGCCCCTGGGTGGCTGCAAGTCTACACTGGGCAGGGTCCAACCAGGCAGGGGAAACCCACTCTAAGTCCAGCTGTGAACCAGAGGCAGGTAACGAGGGGGTGAAGGAGCTGCACAGAGCCAAAGGGACTCCAGAGGTCAACCACTAGGCTGGAGAGACAGAAGAACCTGTGTCACCAGACACAGGTTGGGGGACACCAAGCAGCAGGAACTGGAGCCCAGAGGAGACACAACCACTGCAGAAGACCCTACCCAGCATGGGGAGGCTTGGAGAAACTCCCATCCTTCTTCTCGGCCTCAGCCTGTGGACTTACCTCTGGCCCTGCCAGAAGCCAGCACAGGGGAGCCTGGACAATGCAGTCTTCAGAGACTGGTCCTCCTACATCCTGGGGTGGAGCAGGGAACAGGGAAGAGTGGATGTGAGGGCCCCAGGCCGGAGCTGCACAGGCTGTCCACTGGAACACTGAGAGTCCATCTGGACACCAGCTCTCTTTGCCCTGATTCCGGGTCCAAGATCAACTGGCTGAGCTGCAATTTTGTCTCTGGGGACCAGACTTGCAAGAAGGACAGGATACTGGCACTGACAAGAATGCCTCATGGCAACTGCCTGCCAGGTCAGCAGCATGGATTACCAACTGGGGCTCAAAGTCCTATCTCCTGGGGGGCAGCTGGCTAAACTCCTGCCCTGTCCCTCCCCTGTGCCAGGGCTGAGGCTGCTGGGCAGTGTCCCTACTTGGCTCTGCAGTGTCATGGGTGAGGGTCAGACATCCCACCAGGAGCAGATTAGGACAGCCGCCTGCCTCAATCCCTTCAGTATCCTAACAGCAATTTTAAAATGCTCTGGGAATCTGTAAACATTGTAATACTTCTTGCCACTCAATGATCCAGAAGAGCCTCTAAGAATCCTGCTCAGGACCTACCCAAATCCCACAAGGGAATACTCCTTAGACATGACACTAAAGCCCTCCCAAGCAAAGAGAGGGACAAAGCCAGGTTCACAGAGCAAGCATCATGTGGCTGGCATTATTTGTCCCATTTTACAAAGTTGGAAGCCGAGACTCAGAGAAACAAATAGCCTGCCCGAAAGTCATGGATTTGGGATTAAAGATAATAACAGTAATAGCCAACTTTGCCTGGCATTCTGTATGCGCCTGACTCTGTGATACAAGATTGATAGCTATTGAATCCTTTACCCTGAAAAGACCCAGTGAGACACTTAGTTGTTTTTTTTTTTTTTTTTGACACAGAGCCTCAAGCTATCCCCCTGGGTAGAGTGCTGTGGCATCACAGCTCACAGCAACCCCCAACTCCTGGGCTTAGGCAATTCTCTTGCCTCCGCCTCCCAAGTAGCTGGGACCACAGGCAGCCACCATAACGCCTGGCTATTTTTTGGCTGCAACCATCATTGTTGTTTGGCAGGCCTGGGGTGGCTTCGAACCCACCAGCTCAGGTGTATGTGGCTGGCGCCTTAGCCGCTTGAGCCACAGGTGCCGAGTCGACACTTACTATTTATTATCCCTACTGTATAGCTGACAGAACTCAGGCTCAGTGATACTGAGATGCTGCCCAAAATCACAGGCAGGACTTGAACCCAAGATGGGCTGAGTCCACAGTCTTTGCTCTTAACCCTCACTGTCCTACACAGTTCCAAAGTCCTGCCTGGATCTCCCAGCTACTGGTGTGGGGATCCCAGGTGACCGGCCCTCTGTGGGCAGTTGTGAATAAGCAGGTGTAAATCCAGGCCTTGCTTCTGAGTTCAGGACAACCTGAGCCCTCAGTGAGCAGGCAGCCTCGGTCACACTGTGCCTCATCACTCCATTTCTGGGCCAACCCAATTGCATGTGGACATTTTGTTCTACAAAAAGGAAGACATTGGAATTCAGAACCCAGTAAACTCCTGCTCCCAGGGCAGCCCTATGAGCCATGTCATCCTGGCACTTCTGCTCTGTCAACCTGGCCAGGGGCTGCCCACCCACCACATGCTGACCAAAGTTCTGGCAGAGGCATGCTTCCCTTGCTGTGACTCATTCTCTGTCCCGTGACTCATTCCTGCCCTGCCACACACAGTTTCCACCCTGTTCTCTCTTTCTCACTCAGGTCGAATTTTAGGAACTGAGCTGCAGCTGGTTTTAATCCCAAAGCTTATTCCATTGGATTCTGGATGCTCTCTCTTGTTTACTTATCACCAACATGTTGGAGGGACGTTATCGTCCAGAGCACTGAGAGGATGGACCTTGCGACTCTCTCTAATGTGGCATTAGCAGAAGGTGATTCAGAGAATAAAGTGTGTGCAAAGGAGGGATGGGCACTCCCAAGGAGCATGATGTGGCCATTGGACCAGGCACACTCGAATCTTATTTAATCTTACAATGACCCTCCAAAGTAGCTGAATCTAGAGTTAGGAACAATTACTGTTTACTTTACAAGTAAACCAATAGAGGCTTGGACAGGTTAAGCCACACAGGCTGCAAAAACACTCTGTTTCATTGGTTATGAATGGTTACACAGAAAACCCCACTCTGTAAGGAAACCGTAAGGTCCGCTTTACAATTACAGCCACAAAGAGGACCAGCCAACAACTGCTTTCAAGACAAATGCTCCAAAAGCCATTTCAGTCCACCCCGCCATCAAAGGGAAATGATATTTGGCAGTGAAAGGCAGCTGCTCTCTGACCCAGCTCCATCCCAGATAGGCTGACTATAAACCAGTATTGCCAACCACTCTTAAAGGAGCTAAGCCCTACAGGCACAACAGGCACAGTCTGGAGGACACCAAGATTTCCGCCTGGGAAACACTGGCCTTGGCAATGCAAATACAAACGAAAGGGCTGAGAAGGCACAAGGGCATCTAGGAGAAGTGAGGGAATGGTGGGGCGGGCTGCAGTGCAGGAACAGGGAGTGTGCAAGGCCCAGAGATGGTCCCCAGCTGTGGGGGTTAAGAAGGGTGAAGGCTAGGCCGTGAGGCTGGGCCCAGAGGAAAGGCATCCCTGTGGCAGGGCAGGTGGAATGGGTGACACCCTAGCTCCTGGGACCAAGTGTGATTGGCTCAGGCTCTGGGAAGGCAGCCAATCAGACTCTGCAAGGGAGAGCTCTCTGATTTTTCTCACGGGGATCCTGAGGGACAGCCTGGCTATGGGTGACAGCAGGGTGCTGGCAGTATGGGTATAGCCCGTCAGAGGGTAGGCAGGGGATGGCTGTTCACTGCAGGTCAGAGAGTTAGGGCACAGGTCCTGTCCTGGCTGGCACATTGAGTGCCACATGCCACAGGTGTGAAATGGGCAGACCAAACAATGCAGTTGGTTGCATTGGTTTTTTACACAGTGGGTGTGAAATTAATTTAAGGGTCTTGATCTAAAATGCTTTGTAAGGAAAGAAAATAGAATAGATGGGCTCGGCACCTGTAGCTGAGTGGTTAGGGCGCCAGCCATATACACTGAAGCTGGCAGGTTCAAGCCCTGCCTGCTAAACAACAATGACAACTGCAACCAAAAAAATAGCCAGGTATCATGGCAGGCACCTGTAGTCCCAGTTACTCAGGAGGTTGAAGCAAGAGAATTGCCTAAGCCCAAGAGTTGAGGTTGCTGTGAGCTGTGACGTCACAGCACTCTACTGAGGGTGACATAGTCAGACTCTGTCTCAAAAAAAAAAAAAAAGAAAGAAAATAGAACAGAATGGAAAACATCTCAGTGCCTCCAGTAGACAAAGGAAGGATCAATGTTGTTTTGTGAGACTTTTGGTTGTCTTATAGATGTGTTACACATGCGTAAGTGTAAATGCATTTCTTGATGACAGCTGTGATTGCAACAACAACAATAACAACAACAACAAAGACAACAAACCAATAGATTAGGGATTAGGTCAGCAGTTCTTACACTTGAGCAAACCTCAGAATCCTCCTGAGGGCTTGTTAAAGCACAAAACATTGCCCCACCCTTAGTTTCTAAAGGTGGGAGGGGACTGAGAATGAGCTCTTCTAACCAGTTTCTGGGCAATGTTGCTGGGGCTGGCCCCAGGGCCTGAGCAGCGCTGGATTTGAGGATGTGTATTGGAGGATGTGTAAGGCTCCTGTAGGCTAGAATTGATCATTCCAACTGTGGGGCCTGTGTACCTGACATATTCCTACACACAGCCTGGGGGGAGGTTGGAACTTGGTGTTACCAGCTTAGAGTCAAGGTGGAACAAGATTAGAAATGGTAAAGCAGGCCAGGCGTGGTGGCTCACACCTGTAATCCCAGCACTTGGAAGGCCGAGGAGGGTGAATTGCCTGAGCTTACCGGTTCGAGAGGAGCCTGAGCCAGAGAGAGACCTCCTCTCTAAAAATAGCTGGGCATTGTGATGGGCGCCTGTTGTCCCAGCTATGCAGGAGGCTAAGGCAAGAGATTGCTTAGTCCAAGAGTTTGAGGTTGCTGTGAGCTATGATGCCATGATGCTAACAAAGTGAGACTCTATCTTAAAAAAGAAGAAAAAAAAATGAATGGTAAAGGATCGAAGTTCACTGAACCCCTGCCTTTCCTGCCCCCGCTGCCTCAGGCATTTGTTTCAGAGCAGGTGTCCTTTTGGAGGATTGGGTAGGGGGCCTCTGCTCCCTTTCTATATTCTTTTTTTTTTTTTTTTTGAGACAGAGTCTCACTTTGTCACCCTTGGTAGAGTGCTACGGCATCATAGCTCACAGCAACTCTCACAGCAAACTCTCAGGCGTAAGTGATTCTCTTGCCTCCGCCTCCCGAGTAGCTGAGACTATAGGCGCTGGCCACAATGCCCAGCTATTTTTTAGAGAGGAGGTCTTGCTCTGGCTTAGGCTGGTCTTGAACCAGTGAGCTCAAGCTTCAGCCTCCCTTTCTAAATTCTGACGTATTCTCTTCACATGGCTTCCCTGGCTTCAAGACAGCTGCATATGTAGTGACCCTTCTGTTCAATTAACAGACCTGAAGACACTCCCCTGCAGGCAGAATACACAGTCCTGAGAGCCCCTGAGGCACCTGAGGGAGCTGGCTGCCCCCAACTAGGGGCAAGGCACCCTAAACCACAGGGCCACAAGAGCTCCAGCCTCACTCCTGAGGCCACCTCTCCCTCACAGACCCTGTTCCCTCCAGGAACACCTGAACACCCAGTGTTGTTTCTTGCACACGCCAGGCCTCCTCTCCTCCTTGCTCCACCGTTGCCTGGCCTACACCCCTCCCTCTAGGGTACCCAGCATCCCTGGAGGCTCTGTCTGGAGGCTGCCTCCTGCAGTAAGCCTTTCCTGCAAGTGGTGCCTGCTCTGTCTGAATATGAATGAGCAGGACTTCTCCCACCTCGCCCTAAGGACCAGCAGAGTCTCAGTGGGAACAAGGGGTCGGGGCTGGGTTGGTGAGGATGGCAGCCTGCAGCCAAGGGGTACACTGTCCCTGTACCGCCACCTCCTTCAGCTCCATCAGCACAATGCAGGGAAGAAGGGAGGAAGCCTTGTGAACCCTCTGGAAGCCTGAGGAAGTAGCCTTTCCCTGCCCACATGCAGGGGAGGGAAAACAACACCCACACTCTCAAGTGCCTGCAGATGAAACCTTCAAGGCCCTGGTCCCTGAGGACAGTTGTCCATCTAGCCTGGAG